AGCACATCAAGCACAAGCACATCCAGTACAAGCACATCAAGCACAAGCACAACGAGCACATCAAGCACAAGCACAACGAGCACATCAAGCACACGCACAACGAGTACATCAAGCACAAGCACATCAAGTACAAGTACAACTAGCACCAGCACAACAAGCACCACAAGCACCACAAGCACCACCACTACTATGGAACCACGTAAGTTATAATTACTGCGAAAATTATCACTTATTCGTTATGTATATTACAGCGCCGAATTGCACAGCAACTGGAGTCGGAAAAGCGATGAATGTGTCTGGAAGTAACCCATCTAAATGGGAACAATATTGGTACAACTTCACGGCAAAGAATACATCGCATTACGTTAGGTTTGGATTTCAAAGCAATAGTAATCGTCCTTACTTTCTGGACGAAATATCGGTTGTTGCTCAAAGCGCACCAAGTATTGAGTTGCTGAGGAATCCAAGTTTTGAAAGCTCAACCATAGCACCAATAGATTGGGTTGTATTGTGTTCAAGCAATTGTGGCGCCGTTGCAGACAGAATGCAAAATGGTGCCAAGTGCGTTAACACTACGAGTATTTGCTATAGGGATACTTGCAACGGTGGTATCAATTTTATCGCTCAAACATTTGCGACATCGATCGGCAACAAATACACACTTTCCTTTTGGCTCGACATAGGTGGCTCGGGTTCAACTACATCAAATAAATTCTACGTTGATATTATCTAGATACGATGTATGGGATGTGAATAAGTGTAGGTTTCAGGTACATTGAAATGAGGAAAACCGCTACACATATTTCACTCACAGCTACAACCTCGTATGAAACTTTGAATGCGTGAATATAATTTGCTACTAACACTTCACAGATTCGAATTAACTGTAAATGTACTGAGTATCGCTTATCATTGTCTTGACCTTCGAATTGTGCTAAAAATATATGAGTGCATTTCTCAATAAAGTCTTTCTTACATTCCACTGTAGTCATTTAATTAATATTTTTAATTGATGAGATTTTGTAAACGAATTCTTGTTTACAATTACTCTGACGGTAGGCAGAAAATTGTTTGGCGCATTGTCTAACAGTGTATGTTAGATTTTCTTGCTTGCAGTTATAATACGAGTGTGAGTTTGAGTGTGCAGAAGGTGTTATCAACAACCACAATCATATCATTTTCACAGTATTTCTCTTTTTCTTTTAACTTTTGAAGAAATTGATTTTTCACAATATAACAAATATGAACAAGTTGGAAAAATGAAAGATAGCAATTCTCAGAAACATTTTTATTAGTTATTTGATATCATATGAGTCAATCATCGGTTTCAAAGACATTTTAGCAAACGAAATCGAAACAGACTTTGCCGTTTTTATGAATCGAAACCGAAACTACGATTCCGACTCCGAGCATTTCTTTTAACTGCCGAGTTCTATTCTTTATCCTTGCTTTTCCATTTCAAGAAACATTGACTGGTGTACCTCTCGCCACCGAGACTTCAAGCGATCTTTTTTCGTACGCAGTAGAAGCGAAATGCAAGGAACAAAAAAAATAAGATGGGCAATAAAGGGATAAAGAGAATTACTGAGGCTTCAAGCCAGATGATTCAGTCATCGTCGTGAAAGGGAATGGCAAGCAAATGTGAAATATAGGTGAGATTGGAATAGCATTTTTGTACTTTTCTAGTAAGAAATATCCTTAGTATGTAAAACTAAAAAATTGTTTATACAATCAGTAAGTATTTTAGTTGTTACTCTACAAAGAAAACAAATTTTTATTATTTTTTTTCTGATCATGAAAACATACACGCATTGAATGATTCGTAAATTTTCAACTATTAGCCAATAAAATTTTTTCAAGCCATTAATGAGAAAGGATTTCTATTCAGGATTCTCAGATATATAATTAAATATTAAAAACGAAAACTCGATGATGATATTTAATATTTTTTAAAACGGTTGAATACAATGTATGACGAGCAGAGACAACTTGAAACAAGTTTTTCAAAAATAAATGTTGGTCTATATTACATGCATGTCTTATTTTAGCGATATGAGAGCATAATAAATAGAAAAATTTAGCACTTAGGAAGTGTTATTGCATTGCTTTAATTCAACCATTGAAATACATAAATATTTTCAAAATACTGCAATAAACAATTCTAAATCAAGAAATTACCTTATATTGTAAAAGCACGAAAACTTGAATACAACAATATAACATTAATTATTGTACGATTCATAGAATTAAAATAGTAGAGTATTCAGAAGACTAAAATAGAGGCAACAAAAATTGTTGGTTTTTTATTGTTATATTTGATGTGAATCTATTTTGTAAAGTTTTATCGAAACTCCCAAAGCGGAAGCTCATAGGCCGTTTATAAGAGATAGAAATATTTATCACAAAGTAAGGAATATATCTAGGATCGATGGAATCGTTTAATATTGTTTCTCACGTCAAAAAGTGATTTTCAATGAGTCGATATGTAGAATGCACTACGGTACTATATATCCATAAAATGTCATGAGTAAAAACATTATTATTAAATAATGATAAAATAAACAATGGCTGGATACTGCATTTGTTATCCTCATTTTTCACATTATGGTATATCTGTTATACATTGAATATTTCAACAAGGAAATGATTGTAGAAACTAAAGTTTTTGGCATTTTCACATCTCACTTAAAGCTCTGTGTAGACGAAATTTCATTGCAACCTATGATATTACCTCAGCACATGGTCTTTATTTGGGCTGTCTCTTTCATGCAATGATTCCTAGACGAATCAACCTAGAAATTACTCGTGGTTTCCATTTATCGTATAGAAGAAAAAACGCTATTTTTGATTCTTCCCAGTAATTATAAGAGATATCAACAAGCGGCTTTGAACATTGGATAGAGCTTGGCGAGTTGTAATTGACATGTAAGAAACTAGTATTGGAACAAGTTCCTTCACTAATCAGCTCTAAAAAAGAACGAATCCAGATCTCACATAACTTACGTGGTTTATTAATATCTTTTTTTCCTCAGAGATAGTACAAGTGTAATTTTTGCATATTATAAATCGTTTTCTCATTCCAGTTTAGACCTGTAAGTCGCGCGTGATAGAACTTGTTTGACTATTGAATTTTGAGGAATGACTCATTTGAAAACAATTGTTCAGTAGTGTAGAAATTGAAAACTCATTTTCACTCTTTAAATTTTAAATGAGTGATATGGTATTTCGACTATTACTTCGAGTCTGCAGTTTTTTGAGAGAAAACGAAACTGCAAGTGATGTCGTATGAGGTACCTTCTTGCCGAATATATCTGATGAGAATTCGTAGTGTTTCTCATATGCCACACCATCATCTGCGAGCGCTTCACAATCGAAACGACTTTCCAGCTTTTATACTACTGTCTAATTAAAACACATATACGATAATACGAATATATACTTTACTTTTTACCAGGAAGTTGTTAGACCCTGTCAATCGATCATGAGTATATTTTATTTGATTATAAATGTTGATCATTTTTAAGCTCCATTGACTCAGAGCAAAGAACGCACCACTTTTAAATATTCAACTAATTCTTAATGCTTTTCTCTATTATTTCGAAATTTATTTCTAATATTGAAATCCTATGTTCCCACTTTATTCGATGGCACTATTTGCTCAGAAGCAAGAACATTAATGTCACAGAGGTTATGTTTCATTTCAAGTTTTTAACTTTCTTGCACTTTAATTTTTAACCAATTTAGTACCTAGCTTGTTTGTTTTGTTTCTAGATACCATGCCATCAAAGAAAATTCTCCCTCCAAACAGGTTTTATTATTCAATACCTTCTGTAGCTCAAGATAAATTGGACAAAACGAACTTTTTACGATGCTATAATAAGATAGAATGGCATCCAACACAAAACGCAGTAATAAGATCGTTTCGTATTTCGGACAATGGTAGCGAGGAATATTTTGAGATAATTCAATATATAGAAGAAAAACATAAGATGAATATGATGTAGTTCAGGTATATAGCTCTAATATATTTATTCATGATAAAAAATTTTACTGTTATGAGAATCAACAACTATGCCAAGATAAAGTGGAAATAGTATCGATACTAATGCCATTAATCCATAGCACAATTTTATTGTACATCGTGGTATGGAGCTTAAAGATTGTCAGGGAGTTTGTTTGAAGATTGGCACTATATTTCAATTTCTCAGATTCACATCGACATCTAAGTCTAAACTAATGGCAATTATGTCCGGTGATACGTTATTTGAAATCAGCACTTACTCTGGATGTCTCTAAACGAGAGACATATCACAAGTAGCATAATATTCAAGTAAAGAAGAATGTTTATTTTCTCCTTATACACTTTTTGAAGTAGATGTAATTGTAGGGTGTAAACCTGGGCGTAGCGTGTGTATGGTAATTTGGTATGTTACGAAAATTAAAAAAAGTAGTTTTTTTTTTCTTTCAGAATTTTGAATTAAGTTAATGCAAATGATAATTATACAAGAAGTTATATGCAGTCAATAGGGGGAAATATATCCGAAATTGGGTTCGCATCTCATTCTATAGTTGAACATGATCAGGGATTAAATGGTTCTAACAGCGAACTAATATCAAATAAGCTTAATGTTTTTATTTCATTAAATCTTTTGTTTATTCTTAGGTCCATATTAAACTGATAATTTTTTCCAATTTCTTGCCAATTTTTAGAGAAAATTATGATTATTCAAATAAATGGTGGCCCTTAAATAGCACTACAGTCGTTGACTAATTCATAGTAAATTATGCAATATATTAATGCTTGCGTAATCTGTAACTAGACCAAAATAGGTACTTTCAAGAGGTTTCTCATTGATTTTGAGTACCTTGCCATAGTATAATAATGCAACCCTGTGGTCTTGTTTTACTTTGCAGATGAAAACAATTGTATGGTAGGTAATGATGAATTTAGAAACCTTGAATGAGCAATATTTCTGGCCAAAAATGACTAGTCTGCCGTTGTTAAAAAATGAGATGAAAGTGAAACTTCTTTTCGATCGAAATATTATACCGCCAAAAAAAAAACTCAAGCTTACTTTTTTTGTGTAAATGTTTCCTTTATCTTCGAATTAAGCTAGGGACATGTTGTTGCTCTTTTGACGAAAGTAAAGAATTTATAGATGGTTGCATTTTAAAAGATTCCATACAGATATTTGATTCGACGTTCTTTGGCTGTGGCTACCTCCATAAGATACAATTTCGAATTCTACATTCTATAGTCGCACTCGGCGTGCTTTGAGCTTGCGCAAAGTTAAATTACGCCATAAACATATGAAAATGATGAATCATTCGATTTTAATCTAAATAGTTGCTAATGTTCGAAGTAAACAAAGATCGTTTCAGCATATCACTAGAGTTATTCATCTAATGTCAGTTTTCAGATTATGAAACTTAGTAATACACGTGGAAAGCATCGATATTGTATTCAATACTCTACGTTCATCTTCTACACGATCATATTGCATTCTTTGACACTATCTTTTCAATAAAGAACATCATTAATTCAGTAGATTATAGTAGTTCTTTGAATTCTTTGAGTTGGAATCCACTTTATTTTACATCTTACTGATTTAGAACATCATCATTACTGAATATTTGGAAGTTTTAAAAGCTATGACCATTGATAGGATTTGGAGGAGCTCCACTGGCAATGATTTCGACCATATGTGTCCAAACTTCCGATCTATATCCTCCATTATATCCTGCATAGGTACCAATTTTAAAAGCTCCTGAATATTTACCAGTTGGCAATGTTTTTCCACTGTAGATCGTTCTTACTGAACCATTATCATAAAGAACATCCATTCACCCATTAGTATCAGTTGTGAAATAAGCCCACATTTCGATTGTATGCATTTTATCTCGTGGATCTTCATCTGTAATTCGTTTAATGATTGGATTGGGACCAATTTCAGGGTAGACAGACAGCTCGACTCCTTTTCCTGGCCATGCCATCCAAAAGAAGATTGGTTCTCATGGAGCATTGGAAATTTGTTCCATAACTTGTCCAATTATACCAGCTTGATTGCCAGGATTGTTAGGAATGAAATAGGTGGCTTTGAAGTAACGTTTAGCCATATTCCCCGATATCATATTATCTCTACGAAATTCAGATCTTCCTCTTAAGCTTGTATCTTGAACATTTGAATAAGCTCTATACCAACTTGCTTCTATTATATAGCTTCCACCTTCGATATCTATTTTGAACTGATCTTTATCGTTCACACTATCGAAATGTGTATAAAGTAATCTTTGACTGAAGATAGTTAATACACAGTGAAACAAAATCAGTACCAACAGCATCGAATCTATGAAAAATACGAAGAATTTTTAAACCATAAGTTCCTATCATCCCAAAGAGTGTTCTAATATGCAGTGGTCTTCTTCAACATTCTACGGCTGATCAAAAAACCAGAATATGTAAATTCACAATTGTGATGACTTAAAATGATATCAATTTGTTGAAATGCATTCAATTATTTTCAAGATGCTTGCGCGGATGGAAGACTAGGTTTTTGATACGAAAGGGATTGACAGGATAAATTTAGTTAGAAAATCGTCGATGAAAAAAGCAATTAAAAAGAGATTTAGTATTCGTGCTTGGGCAGCCTTCATCGATGGCTCAGGTATCTTAATACAACAAATACTTTGATCGTGTTAGTTCCAATGAAAATTCAATCTCAATTTTCTGACAAAAGTGTTCTGTAATTAATCTTGTCACTGTAAGAACTGGATTTGTTTGAACTCTTTCAACACAAAACAGCAAATCATGCGTTTTGCGTGCTGATAGAATAACTGTTCACGAAGCAAGATAGAACACTCTATCGAAAGTCTTGCGAGTGAGTAAGTTAAAAGAAGTGCCAAGGTTTATAGGGCCTTTATATATTTGAAAGATCACAGAAAAAAGAGTTGGCTTCACTGCAGTAAAACTGAAAGAAAGATGAAATGAAAAGATAGAACGATCCTCGAATCTTCCATATCACCTAATGTATTGACTTTCCTTCAACAATAGTCTAGTATTAAGTGAGTATTAACGTTCAATTCTTCAGTCTCTGCACTTCTCAGATGTCTAAATCAACAGTGAATTATTGTCAATATGCTCTAGTAAAGTAGTGGCAGACAGTTACGATTGTTGAACTAAGAATTATCATTTCTTCACGTATTTTTATTCCAGCACAAGCAAACATGATTATGACTCATTGGAGTACGATTGGTCCTGCTCTTCTCAAATACTTACAAAAGAACCTCTCCAGATGTCCAATCGTTTGCAGGTCGAGTTTTGATACAATATAGACCTTCATAAGTTCGTAAATACCCTAGAGTGGTTTGGTGTTACAGGCTCGTTGAGCGAAGATATGCTCTTGTTAATACACTTCTTGCGAAGCTCAGTTTTAACGTTGTCTTTTCGACATTTCAGCTAAATAAGATCTGATCGGACTCAAGTTTATACTGCTAGTAAGATATCTAGTACTGACTAGCTTCGGAAAGTTTAAATATGGTTTAATGTTTCCTTGCGAAGATATGATGGATGTGAGTTTCTCTGTTGTTGAAGAGCAGAAGCACACCAGAAACCCGTGCCCATACGCTTTGAATTACTCTTCTTGTTTAACAACATATATCAGAAAAACTATTAGACCAATTTGTTATTGGTTGGAAGAGCACATTAACATATACCCTGATTCTGATTGTATCGAAGTTAGAAACGAAAGCACGAGAGTTGTAGCATTAAAAAAATGTGAAGCTTCCGAAATAAAATTGACATGTGTCCTTGCTAGAGAATCATCAGTTATTGCTGAGTTTTCGCCAACTTTTAATCTCACAACTCGATCAGCTCCACTACTAGAATATATCCCGAAGAATGCGCAAAAACACAAAACAACAAGAAGCATTATATTTCAGTAATACCTTCATCCCTTGAGATATTTATTTCTATACTTTCGTCTGTATTTTATGCCATTACTCTCTCTCTCATGTCATTCAAAAATATCGTTTTGTCTCTATGTTAAGATAAGATTTCTAGTTGCAATGATTATGGAGATTTGTGTAGTTATTAATATTTTATTGTAATATCTATTTGAAAATAATAATAAAATTATCAACATATCGAAAAGATAAAAATTGATCTTTTTCATGCTACTGTTGAGTCGATTTGATTTTGTTACAAATTATTGTCCATGAACCCAATTAATAATAAAAAATGAATATAATAAAATGTCTAAAGATAACATTTCCAGAAGGCTTATGACATACAGCTCGGAAGAAAACCTATAGAAATTTCAAAAAAGACTCACTGATTCTTTCATTTGTGATGCAAAATTGTCGATATAAATAAACACTTAATTGGAATAACCTTTTTCTGTCTTTAAGCTTAGATACGATAGAATGAATTAATAATTATAACAATGATTAAAAATATATATATTAACCCATATTGTTCAAGGTTTCAATAGTTGAAAAGAAAAGAACAAATAAAAACAAAACGACTGTGATTATCGTTAAATATATATGAAAAGAATACGCATTAATTCACAAAAATGATAATGAAATACAGAGAATATAGAACTTTATCAAGAATACAACTATATACTTCTGTAAACCACTACAAGAAACAAAATATACTAAAACCTGCAGCATGAAAATTGTTACAGTTTACCAAAAACCAATAGCTTATCAATAGTTGTGCTGTTTGTTTTCAAAATGAATCAGATTCTTTGCAATCAATTTTTGGTCCTCAGAAAAAGATCATTTATTGATGCACAAATAATTCCTTTTCTTATTCCATCGATTAATAAATCATACAGTTTTTCACTTTATCCCATCGCATATTTTTGATGATAGCATCTCATACTTAAGAATCCAAAACATTAAGTTCAGAAATGTTTGGTAGCCATCTGCTTTTGTTAATGGGCTGTACGAAATAATCCTTACACCATAAAAATGATTCCTAATTTTGAAAAACAACTCCAATATAATTCTCATGTGATAACACTTTACTAGGTACAAACATAATAGGAGATGCAGAGCCATTTTTAGAAGCATCTAATAACACTATAATTCGTTTGACAGTTAAATACACTTTCGAATGAAAAATGTTTTTCATCAGTAAATACTTACTATGATGTTTTTTTTCATGATTTTTGCACTCAATATCCAAATCATATTCTTCTTTTTTTATTATTATTAATCAACTTTGATTGAGTTCAAATATGATTGGTACGTCAATAAAAATCGTCCTCTGCTATTTGAATCACCTTTTGTCTGTTAGCTAATCCTCTTCTAAAACAAAAGGAAACAATTATGAAGTTTCAGAGCGAAAACTATATGTTTTATTGTAAGTGTTTTTATTATTCACCAATAGCACTTGAGAAATACATTTATGACTGCATTACTATGAAACGAATTGATATTTTTTTATAGACTACTAAGCCATCGATTTTGATGTATTATTTTCACGTAAGCGAGTCATTTCTGGTTGTAAAATTGGCTGACGACTAATTCATAAATAACAGAAGTTTGATTCACCTCAATGCTACGTTTCTCCTTAGATTGAAGGAAAAAAAGAACTCAATGACATCTTTTGCGTTCTGTCATATGATTAAGCAATCTGTTCCCCGCAGAGCTTTTCTGCTGCTGCTTCCGATGCTTTATCGAACTACGTTACATAAAGAATAATTTGAAAGCATGTATGCAAGTTAGTATTGATGATAGAACATGAGAAAGAGAGGCCTGTTATTCGTCTTTTTTTTCCGTCGACATAGAATGTAAAAGTAAGATGTGTTGAGAAAGTTAAAAGGAAAGAGTTGCTTCCACGATCGGGCTGATGCCACACAAGTTTGTAAAAAGAGAACGAGTGAATTTTCTTGTGCGCTTTCCGAGAAGTGAGCAATACCAGCATTTACATTGTAAATTTTAAATAAATTCTGCCTTCTAGAGAATTGAGTTAACAAAAGTTCAAACATTTTCAAGTTATTATGAATCCTAGAACGATTTTCTATTTTCCATAAACTGCTTGGTTTTTCGTAAAGTAGAATTTCAATTAGATTTTCTAAAACAAAACTATTTTTGAACGAATTAAAAAATCAACAACAATTTTTAAGAATGTTTCAAAATCAATTTAAATTCAATAAAAAAGAAAAAGTCAATATTAGTTTTTGGAAAATAATTTAAACAACGGCACCTATATCAACTAGTTGACGGTGTCGAGAATTTCTTTTTCTTCAGTAGCTGCGATGAGCATATGAGTAACTTGAAGTGTAGCTAACGCATACTAATCCATTGTATAATAACGAAAGCAACCAGTAAATTAATTCTTACTAGTCATGAAAGATGGTAAATATAATTTTTTTTCTGAGAATATTTCTCATAGGCCTCATCTTCTTTTGGTTTTTCAACTTCATGTAGAAATGTGTAAATGAGCGCCATCGGAAGCTGTCTGTAACTTGAAATTCTCTAATAAGAACCACATTTACAAGCCTGGCTCTTCAATTACTAATTTGTATTTTTTTCCCCTGAGATCATTTGATCTTACGCACTGGAAAAAGCTAATCAAGTAGTTGTAAAATTTCCCGTTCCATCTGACTAAGACATTTAATTTTAAATAAAACTGTGCTTCATGTCCATCACAAATGTTTGCTTTTAGATTTGGCAATCTAAGAACAACGCCCAAACATTAAAATATCTACACAAAAAATATTTACTTTATCTAACTCGTCAACAAAACCTTGAGTGAGTGACACTTGTAGCACTCTGAAAAAGCATAATCTCTCTCTCTCTGATGCGCTTGAGTGATGGTGCTGACGTGATTCGGTGGATTCGAGACAAGGAGCCACTGTACTCGCTAGGATTCGTACACACAGACATATCCTAACTAGCAATATCTATTTGATTCTCCTAGAAGAATTTCAAAATTCAATTTGGAAAAAAGTTTTTTCTCGGTTTTTGTAGAGTGTAGATAGACCCGAAACCTTTATACCAGCTGATGGTACATAGCCATGATTTGATGATAGCCCGTTCCGATTTGATGAGTGTAGGTACGATTGTAGGTAATGGTGTTCTTTCTACCAGCATCAAACCCAATCTACATCCACAAGATGGGTGATATTTTATGTAATGAGATCGCTTTCTTTTCTTAATACTTGTTGAGACTAAATCAGTTGACTGATTATTCACATGAAAAGAGTGTTTTAAATTGATTATTTGATAGATTTTTCGTCGAAATGAACGATTTAAGACTAGATCAAATACAAGTTTTGTCTGACAACGATCCTACACCAACATCACCGACTGGAACCAGTAATCAATTCCAGTATCCTCGACCACCTATCAGTCCTCCGAAAGAATTAATTCCAGTGAATAAGGTGTCTGATTTTGACAAAGAAATAGAGGTTCCACAAGAATCCCTATTGTCAGACATTTCAGCTGAATACGGCTACTTAAAACATATTCAAACATACAAAGATTTATGCAACACAAACGACAAGTCTCTCAAGAAGAAAGTCAGGTAACTTCAATTAATTTCAATCTACCCTACAAATTTTACGACAACTGTTAAATCTAATTAATTGTAATTTTGTTCGGTAAAAGAGATTAACTAGTATGCTACTACTAAACTAAAGAACTGGTAAGCTGAGACTTGTGCACATGATCAAAATTCTATAATTAGCATTCATTCAAATAGGAATCGAGACTTCTTTAAATTTAAAAGTCTAATCGGAAACATATTTTCTCTTTATGATAGATGATGAAGGCCTTTTCACCTGAGAAACAATCCGCTTCAATCCGTTAGATAATGGTTTTGTACCAATACACAAAATTTCCTATGACATGAGCGAGTGACCATTATGATTTCATCATGTGTTACGCATATCGGAGAGATTTTATGAAACCTATTGCATTAAGTCGAAAGCTTAGTTTTTCTATGCTCAGTATCTCTCTCAAACCTTGAATCACTATTAAGTTATACAGTCTGTTTAGACTGTGTTAACTTAGACTATCCCAAATTAAAAAATGTCCGTGCATGTAAGTATATTTCCTGGATAGCTAGAAAAACAAGAGAAATAGAGACTTACTGTTGTCATCATTCGAGAGGTCACATTTCGCCAGACAATATGATCTCAAATTTCGATTGCTTACGAATTAACCAATCATCTGAATATTGTGTGAATATTTCAAAAAATGACATTCTGAAACCGTGTTTTCTTCGGTTTCCACTACCTTCTATCATTGGATGTAAGGATTTTCCCGACACACTCAACTGCCCACTACGGGCCTTAGGTCATCTTCGGACAGGTTTAGGTAGAGTTAATTAATCATGCTGAGCTTATTAATAATATTCGTTTTTTTCTTATTGTACAAGTAATCTTAAATTAATTAGTTCTTTTTGAAGCTAGAAAGTAAACTCACTACTAAACTCAGATGATCGAAGACCCAAAGAGTGAAGTTGATAACTTTTTAGAAATTCATAGCATCCTTCGACTGGAACAAACAAAAACTTTCGGTTTTGTATGGATATAAAGAAAAGAATTTCTCTATGCCATGGTCATATTACTACTAATAGTTAAAGTCAAACGAACCACGGTTTTGAAATGTCGTTATTTGAAATCTGAACGCATGTTTCACCTATTGCTCAATTTCAGTATGAGCGAAATTTGAAGCTATATCGTTTTCCAGAATGTGTTCTTGCAAACAGCATCAACAGCAATTCTCTATCTTTTATGTTCACTTTTGCTATTCAGAAACGTCTCACTGTAACAACACTGGCATATCACTCCACTTTCATAATTATTCTTCTTGCTATTCTTGTCTTTCTCTTTTTCTTCTATCTGGTTGCGCAGATAAACATATGCTCTGCATATAAACAATATCATTGATGATGTGAGGAAATCAAATAAAGCATAAGTACATTTGCGTTAGCACTTCTCCTATTATAAATCGTTACATCCACATGTGTGAATTTTTTTGACACGCGATAGTCTTCATTAAAAGATATCATCTAGAAGAGTAAAGGAAGGATAACGGCAACGATAACATCTGCAACGAAGTTTATTATCAGATGACAATATGTTTGAAGATTGGTAACGATCACTGTTTTCGAAAACAAGTCTTTCTTAGCAAAACTCTTCTTTTCATGAATCAAGCTGTTGTTATAGTCGAGAGTAGTATTTACGAATGATGTTCAACTTAGTGGTTTTGTAAGAACTCGAAACGAATCCTAAATAGATCAACAGAGAGTCATTCATTGTTGTTCACATTTCTGATATATGTAGAGAATTCTACAAGGATCAGTTGGACTTCATTACTTCACTTGAAGCAGTACTCGTGCCGAATACTAATGAAGGAAATGCAGCAACATCTGATCTCAAACGTCAAGACCGTGTCATCGCAATACTCACAACAGCCGCTTTGATCACTAATATTGTAAGTTTACATTTGTTAATTTTATTTAATAGTTTCCTGTTTCTTGTGTATCAAAGGTTCTAGTGATCATCAAAATAGCAGGTGCTGTCGTATCAAAATCGCTTTCGATTATTTCGTCAGTCGTCGATAGCGTACTTGATCTTCTCAGCAGTATTATACTTCTGTGGACAGCTGGTAAAGTCAAAAAACGAAATCTCTATAAATATCCCACGGGTAATCTATTATAAGTATTATCTTTGAAATAAAGAGTAATTGTATGCTAGGACGAGCACGTCTTGAACCGACTGCTATTCTTATACTGTCTGTCATCATGTGTGCTACAAGTGCGCAAGTCATACTTGAAAGTATTCAAACATTGTCGCAAGATATCGAATATTTCACAAAACGATACAATAACTCATCATGTAATAAGTTGCCTGACTTAGATATGAGTGCATTACCCATTACCGTCATGGTACTCACAATAGGTATGTATCATCGTTCATTTTAACTATTATTCAATTGATCTCATTGCAAGTATCAAAAGCAATACTTTTCATGCTATGCTACCGAATAAATAATCCAACAATATCTGCTCTTGCTGAAGACAATCGAAACGATGTCGCATCAAATATTGTGGCACTTCTTTGCGGACTTATCGGTAATGTTCGACATTTTATTGAGTGTGATCCATATGCAAAACCGAGAAAATCAAACAAAACTGAATATCTGCCATTCTTTTCTATTATTTTTTCTTTTTGAATATGGATTGTTACTTTGAGTTTTTCTAAAATTAGTTGACAGTAATTGTTCAGCTATTCGAAAATGTCGATGAAGCATTCTTTGAGAAGAAATCGGAAAACGAGACAAAATTATTTATCCAAGAAAAAACTAAATTGAACATAGAACACAAGAAACGATGAAAGATAGACTTTCGTTTTAGGTTCGTATGCTCTACAAAAAAAGATAAAACAAGAGGCCATCGTTGTCGATCCGATTGGTGCTCTGCTCATCTCAGTGTATATCATAACTGCTTGGATTCGACAAGCCTACAGTAAGTATCAAACGCTTGCTTAAATGAGATTGCTCTCTTTTGATTTGTCGGATTCTCTCAACCAAAGATCGAACTTAAATTGAACCTACTCGATTCGATTCGGGCCTATACTTTAGCTGACTACAGAATCTATTGAGAAGAGTGAAAATTTAGCCATAAGTTCGTTACAATGAAGGTTTGTGTTATGCAAAGTTTCAAGTAAAAACTTGAAAGTCGATTTTCAAGATAACATGAGAGAACTATTAGAATTGGCCAAAAATATACAGTAAAACTTTAACATCTTAGAAATAAAGATCCATTGATATCTTTAAAGGTATCCTTGTGAGCTTTGACAAGTCATCATATATACTTAACCAAGTACACTCGTTTCTTCCAAACGTACCATTTATTGAGTAGTCAAAATACGTGAAAATCAATAGTGAAAACACTTAAGTACGGCTTACAATTCTAGCGTCAAAATAATTTCGCATGATGAAAATGATGACTTTATTGTTGTTGACAAAGCCACTTAAGATACTTCTATTTTCTACGTAGCACAAGTCCGTCACCTCACTGGCATAACAGCTGAACCGTTATTTCTCCAGCGTATTACTCATCTTGTCTATAATTTTCGTCCCGATATTGTGACGAAAATCGATACTGTTCGGGCTTTTCATTGTGGCACAAAATTTTTCGTGGAAGTTGATATTGGTTTACCAGGCTCAATGCCTCTGGCTATTGCTCATGAAATCGGACAACAATTGCAAGAACAGATTGAGAAGCTCGATGATGTAGAACGTGCATTTGTACATTTGGACTTTGAATTTACACATTTACCATATAGTGAACATAAGATCGTGTAATTTGTCTGATTCGATATTTCTTTTCAAAACTTTTGCCAATGAGGGCGCGGCGAGTACAATCCCTCACGCCAAACTAATCATCTTACACCAGCCGTGATTCTGCTTTGTGGCTATCGCGATTAATTTTATGCAAAACAAAAGAAACTACTAACATAAGTTAATGTGCTTCTGTGCGTTTTTGATAAATGATTAATCGAATCAAAATATACGAGCTATATTAAAAATGATGAGTATTCACAATCATTCGAAAATCAAAAAGTGAAGGCTGTAAAGATTTCATGATTTTATGTAAAAGCCAAATAAACATCTTTGCCTAAGGTAGTGTAGTATTATTCCCACAAATTTATCTTTATATGGACTAGCACAACTTTTGATAATGACATTTATTCTGCTATTGCACATCTTAATCGTATTTTGTTAATATAGAACATGTACTTTCATATATTTGACAGAGCACAAGTAAAATCGAAAAGAAAGGGAAAGATGTCAACAATAATATCGTCACAATACATTGAGGAGATTGGATTCATCGAGATGATCCCAAAATCAGACACGATGATTAGAAATATCAAGATTAGAGCAAGAGATAGTTCCTTGTATAGAATTCACCAGTACATCACGCGCTCAAGACTAGCCAGGTTTGTTAACTACAGTTCAATTGAACGATCGCCCTTTATCAAAGTAAGATATTCTTTTTTTTTGCATTATGATGATCGTTCAACCCAAGTAGAATTCAAACGATTATTCGATGATATACTCTATTAACCTCATTTTGATGATGATGGTGTTTGTCATTGATCATTAGAACCTGAGGTTGTAGGCTAAGGTATGAATCTGGTCTCGACCCAAATGCTCACTCGCTTAATTTTTTTTAATGTTAGCTTGTTACGATAGCTATAACTATTAACTTTAGATCACAATGTTCATTAAAACAAAAAAAGCTCAATTCTTTTTTGATTAAAATGAGTATCATCTGCAACCTGCAAATATTAAATAAACAGAAAGATCCTATTAGATATCTTCTGAATCGAATTGGATCCTCGTTTCATTTAATCAATATGTAAATTAAAGCGGACTTTTTCGAAATGGATGCTAATCAGGACTGGATTGAAATCGGTAAAGAAAAATCATAATATAATAGACCAGTTCAGGCAGGAAATTCATGGAATACGATGAAATATCAATATAAGTTTATGAATTCATGCAAAAATATTGATTAACAATGACAATTATTGTACCAGTGAAGTCTTGGCGCCTATCATGAGAATACCTTTTACAAAACAGTGATGTCTTTCATGATTTGAAGGGAAACTTCAGTAAATGACTTACCGTGTTTCTCTTCAAACCTAAGCATATGAATGGCTCTTATGCTTTTGATCAATGTAGATTATGAGGAAAAAGTGATTATTGAAAAATATTATAAATATTTCATGGAAAGTTATATTCTACTGCCAACGCCTAAATGAAGTTAGAATAAATTCAACACAAGTCGAAGTCATACTAAAATATACCGACTCAGCAGGTAATGCTCAAAAAATACCGTATTACGACAGATACATATGCTACTACGATTCTACGTCTGATTCTACTTTGGCATGCTTTTTATTGCGCAATCACTTGTTATCGCCATGCTGTTTATTCAGTTTTTTGTCTTTTTACCCATTTCTGTAGAGTTTTTTAAGGTGATAAACTATTAGTTATATAATCGACCAATCAAGGTGATGTGAAAAAGTTCGAAAAACAAAGTTCTTTCACAACATACGTACAACATTTTATTGAGACAGTAGGATGTGTTGAGTCACTACAGGTAAAATAAAACTTTGGACGTCAATAACTATCACGAGTCATGACATCAAGTTCTTGGAAAATTTCATTCGTATGTAAAAATGATAAAAAGTGCGTCAACTATAACAAAGCTTTCTAAGAACATTAATTTCTTTCATAAGAATACTATAGTGGTTTAGGGTTTAGAATTAAATTGTTTAACGGAGTTTCTAGTTTTAATTCGAATATCAAAAGTAATTGGTAGCTTGAAAGCTCACTATAGAACAAAGTAAAACAAATTTGATGCAATTATCAAGAATTTTATATAAACTTCGTTTGATATCGTTATAAATTTTAGATTGTCGTTGATCTTCGAACTCTCGAACGAACGCAGTACAAGTCATCGATACAACCTTGGTACCAAAAAGGCAAGTCGATATTCAATGAAAATATTTTCGGTTAGCGTGAGAAATTTCCTTCTAAAAGAATTCTCAGCACTTTGGAATCGTGTCTATTGAAAAAAACGAAATATCCGAGCTTACGAAATGAATAACTTGCTTCACTTTTTGTTTATAGTATCGTCATGAAGATCTATATTCGAACAAATACAGGAAGGGGACGCCCATTTGAGTTTAATGTCCAGCCCACTGACACGGTTAAACAACTGAAGCAGCTAACTATTCAAAAGACCAATGATGATGAAGATGCATTAAAAAATATGTACTTTATTTTTGACGAAGATATACTGGACGAGGATGAGGAAACGCTTACATCTTATGGAATAGAAGAAGAATCAAACCTAGATTTACATTATTCCAACATGAAAGGTCGTAACTTAGGTGCATTGGGAACGCGTTTTGCGGATGTTAGCAACAGTAAAAGCTTAAAGCGATGTGAATGGTCTCAAACAGCTCCACGCTGGCGAAGGACCAGATGTGGTTTATGTTTTGAAGGCATATGTACCAATAGTGAATGTGAAGCTTACAATAAGAATGTTATCATACCAATTGGTTACAAGAAATTCGATATTCTATGCGATCCTGATGATACCACAACTGTATGTCCTGTATGCAAAAACTTTGTTCAACCAACAAACTGTGGTTTTAATAATTGTTGGTGGAGATTTCAAGGGATAAAACAAGAAGGAGATGATATTAGAAAAGCACCAAAAAGATGTTCTAGTGAATGGAAACAAGCGGATAATGCATATCATTATTTCGACCAGTTAACGAGTGAACTAGTGACATGGAAGCAACTTATACTTGAAGCTGTCAAAAATAAACCTACTTGATGATTTCTTACTATCCGATTCACTGGTTTTCCATTGCTGTCTGTAAGAACATTAATCAAGACTTTGTTCTATTTTAAAAAACTAAGTCTCTACTTTTGCTGAAAAAAATATAAATTTGTTGCTCAAAGCTTTTTTTTCTAAAATAAACACACCCTTAACAGGAATCATCATTGCTGCCTAAAGTGATCAAACAGATTAGATCGATTATTTGTTTTGTAAAAGAATATCAGCTTGAGAAAACTTATCTTCTTATATTGTCAAGAATCTATAGGATCATTTAATCCAGATATGAACTGTAAATAGAACAGTCGGTGAGATAAAACGAATTGAATAAGTGATTACATAGCAAAACTGCTTGATGGAAAGAGTTACCAGGATCAGATAGATCCAAGAATTGAGGAATTATAATCTATGTGCACAATTGACATTGATTCATTGCGAGAACAAGTGTATTAGTGCTAAAGTACTACATATTGACACTCAAAAATTAAGAATGTGTGAATCTATTCTTCAGTAACGTCCACGGTCCATTTGCAGAAGAATTAGATAGATTGAAGAAAATGACAATTTTCCCTTTCTTTTCTATATGACAATTTCCATATATACATATTTCTAGACAGAGTATAAACTGAAAAGCCGTTCGACATCCTACGAGTAATGACCATCATTCATTTAACTAATGATTAGCATGTGAAAAATTCCATCCTGATAAACTCGTGTTTCTTATATGTTATAATAAAAATCTATCAAACTTTCCTTTGCCATCTTCGCGACATCATGTACTCGTTGTATCACTATTAAATCTAAGCTTCAAAATTCAATATTTTCTCTCTAGTTAAAAGTGAGAAATAACCGAACATTTTACCAGTCCAGAGAATATCAAACAAATTCATACTAAAGATCAAATTGAAAACAAGTGATAATTTTAATTTACAATAAAAATTTTTATTAAAGCTGTTAATTAAATTTGCTCAACATCATTTATTATCATGTGTCTAAGTTATATTCATTAACAATGAAGCATATAAAAATCATAAATATAGATAACATTTATTTAAGCGTAGTGAAACACTGCATAATTATCATATGGTTGTCAACTTCATAATTTATACAGATGTCTATATAAAGAAAAATAATAGACAAGTATGCAGCAATACTGAAGAGAAACAGCAACAAGAAGTTACATATTGTGTATTGATATGAGAAAAATAAAGAACACGTAGAGAAAAGGAAATAAACACACACAAAAAGAAGCTCCCAAAACACTTCTAATAATAAAAAATAAAACACCACACAATAGTATTTACTAGTCAATAGTATCAATCACATACGCAATAGATATAGATAGTATCATAAAAGAAATAGAATACTTATCTGATCCTATTTCATAGGATTGATAATCGTTTTTCTAAGACAATAGTTACATACAAAAAAGAAACAATTATTTAGATAGACACTTGTATGAACTTAAAATATTTTTCGTTCTTGTTCATCTAAATCTTTCATATCTTCAATAAGACTAGCACTAAGCTCAGTCAACAATAAATCCATTGTCTAGAAAAATAAACTTTAGAATAAAACGGCTTGCTTTTTTTTTATGTCTTACCATATTCATAAATGAATTGAGATGAAATTTTCTCAAAGCATAATTATCTAATGTTCTCGAACGAGTATCTTTTATATCTTGATAATGATAAATTAAATTATCAAGAATAGTTGCTAAAATGAATATCATTTATAAAATATATTTGAATAAAATTTTAAAAAATAGAGAAAAAAAAAATTACCATCTAAGAAACGTGAAAGATCATCAACATCAACAACTGAACCATTTTGTTTAATATATTTTCCAATTAATTGATCTATCAATATTGTATCTAATAATTTATTTTGTGCTTGTTTTTCTATTGCATTAAATTGAACTTGATTAACTTGATTTCTTTGAGAACTATGAATATCATAAGCTGTATCACGCATTATTTCTCTTATAACCTCAGATTCAATATCACGATAGATATCATTTGTAGCATCATTTACAGCAGGAACATTACGCAACTAAAAATAACAGAAGTTAAACAATGAAAAAAAAATTTAACACATAATCACGGACATAAGTTTAGAACAGTTGTATTTTTAAGTTTTCTTTTCGATGGTAATATCTAACAAGAAATTTAAAAACAAGAATGTTTGTGAAGCTGAAAGGATTTTCTATTACGATTGGTAGATCCAAAGACTCCAATAAAACTACTTTGATCATGATCAATGGAGAATCAAGACCTTCAAAACTAGCCTTCTGACTGTCATTCGAACCTTCTGAGAAAAAAATTTTATCGAATAGAGCAAGATAAGACGTCTTTCATCTGTTCAAGATCTTTCTTCATTGAACTCGATTCAATTTGCAGAAGGACTAAGAAGCATTTTTCTCTTCTATTTTTTTTGCCATGTTCGACATTTTGGGGCCGTCTGTAAATTGAATATATTTTGATGAAGGAAGGGCATGATTTCCCACAAACTCTTAGCTAAGAAGTTTTGTTAAAGTCTTCGAACTTACCAATCCTTATAGAGAATCCTTTCAACTACGCAATTTTTTCCAGGCTCTGACTTGTTGTTACCATGAAAAAGAAAACTTAAAAATACAGCTATTCCAAACTTTTGCTCCCTACTATACTTACTTTATTAGTTAAAGTTTGACCAGTTATTTCAGTTACCATATTTTCTACTTCGTAATCAATTAATTCTTGATTAATATCTCTTAATAGACGTCCTTGTACATCCGGAGGTAAATCGTGATATCTTGCTTGTATCGTTGTTTGAGTACGTGGAAATTCTCTGAAATCTAATGGTTTAAGTAACGATATATTAGAATCAATATTTGATGAAGGAATTGGTGGGCGTTGATAATCAAGTTCACGTATCCAAGCGTCAGAGAATAAACTAAATAAAAGAACAGTTTCATAATGACAAAAACAAACGAAAAAACAACATACTGAGTATTATTAATTTCTTTTTGACTAATTAAATTATTTAATTCAGCATAATATCGATCAACTTCAGGTTTAAATGATTTTACACTTGAGTTTTTATTCTTGAAAATAATAAATATTTTACTTTAAAAAATATCTTTCTTAATAATCATATTTACTTCTCGATCAAGTTCACTAATTATCTCAAGTAGAATATCTGGTATAAATTGATCTTCAATACATTTACCAATAAAGTCTTCTATAAAACGGTTTGCAAATGCTTCATTACGACGAACATAAATATAATCAGAAGGTTCCTAAAAATAAATATTGTAACTTTTGCTTTGCTTTTTTTCATTCTTATCTTTAGCTGATATCATAAAGGCATAAAACAAAGTTTACGATTACTGTTTTAAAATAAGAAAAAAGAAAAGAAAAGAAAAGAATTGGTAAGCAAACTTACATGTTGAAGTTTTGGCGAAGGATATGAACGAACTCTTTCAAGATATGCATATTGAGAATCAGGAACATAAGATGATGTTGCTTGATGAGAAGGTATTGTGAAAGTACCACCAATACCGTCTCTACTAATGGGTGGAGTAGTGAAACTGGATAGACGAGGTACTACAATGTATGACTAATAAAACGGATTGATATTATTTTGATATTGAAGAAATTTTCTGTTTCTTTTGGTTCATTACCTTTTTTTGTTTTTGATCTTGACTACCTAGACCAAAATGTGTTAATGGTGATGGATAGCGTCGAATTAAATGTAGATTTTGATTTAAACGATAATCAATAGGATCAAGTCCCCATGTATCAAGACCAACTGGAGGAGTACTAGATAATTCATTTTATTTTGTTAAAAATATAGCTTATAATTTTTCTCAAATACTTACTGCCAATCATCAAGTGATGGTAATGGACTATTTATTCTACGTAAATTGTAAGCATTTCGATAGGGCTCAATGCCAGGTGGAGTTATCAGTCTAGAATAATAATTTAGCTTTCTCTATGAGACAAATTAATAATTTGCGAAAGAAAAAAAAGGAATTATTTATATGCTTCTTAACACTGGTTCTTCATCATCATAGAATGATTCAGATGAGTATTCAGTTTGATTTTTTAACATATTTATTATGATTATTTTAGCTACTTTTAAATATTAAATCACATATTCTCTATGTTGTATTAAATTATAATACAATTGTCTCATATTAAAAACTTTTTTTCTATATGGAAAGATATTCTTTTCATCAACAAGGATTTCTTTTCTTAATGTGTATCAGAGGATTAATCTTTATTGCAAATACCTTTCTTTCTTATATGCTCATAAATTATTATGTCATATCTAATCTCTTTCATCTTCAAACAATCGAAGACATAAAAACTTCTAAAAAAAGAAATAGTATTACATACGTTCGTAATCGTGGTGGTGTAGCAATGGGACTATACATTTTTTTTGTTGAAATTAATTCAAGATCGCTTGGTGGTTGCCAATCAATAACATTTTCATTAAAATGATCAACGTATGGCTTATTTTCTTTTTGTTTTTTCAATATTGATGTCGGTTTCGACATGGCAGTCGATGATGATTGATTATTGCCAAATCTAAAATTTTTCTTTCATCTTGATTTTTTGTTTTCTTTGCATTAATGAAAAAAAAATACCGAATTTTAATTCCTTTGGAATCGTTTGATGATGATATACCCGTATGCTGAGACTTATGAGCAGTCGAATGTCCCATTGGACGTATACGACTTTGATTTGTTGTAGTCATTGAACATTACTTTTATATAAATTTTTGTAAAAATCCAATTATAGTTGATCATATACATATATAGGCAAACTTAAAAATTACTTATATGTCATGACAACCAATTTAATAAATTAATAATAATCATAATAAAATAGATGATATATAAAAATTTAATCATTTCTTTTTTGTTTAGTTTTGATTTTTATATTTATTTCATTATAATAAATGTGTCAAGTTTTTTTTTGCGAATAGATGACACTAAATAAAATCAATATTGA